ATCTGTGCTCTGACTCACAGTCAATTACTGCACAGAAAGGAAGAGCAGCTCCATATGTTTGGCCATAAACTTTAATGAGTTGTACCTCACCGTTTGCCTTTTGGCTGGACAAGTTTTCTTGATGTTGGCTTCAGATTAAAAAAAAAACATATCAGCAGAAGAATGAGGGGAAATTCAATATTCAATAATTAAACAACTTTCCTGTTGCGAACTTGATCACAGAATAGGCCAGTTACCAAGTGGTTTTGTGAAGAAACATACATAAATACAAAAGCCATTTTAAGGTAATTACTGATTGCTGCTGCAAGTATTAGGCCAAGACACCCAGAGAGCACTACTTTTAAGATCACTCGTATCAGCTCTTTTTATTGGAACCACTTTTTAGAAGCAAAGAGGACACAGTGGTATACAGCATAGCCAAACTTCCTGTGAAGTGTGACCATGTGACCATTGAAGGGGTGTGGCTCAGCAAATAGCTGTCTATGAGCCAACCAAGAAAAGCTTTAAGCAAATAATGCACAGTATGAAAAGTGAGCCTACAATGAGTTTAATTACGTTTAAGCCTATATAAAAGCTTCCCAGTTTAGAATGAATCGCCTTGATTCATCAACATTAGAATGAGATTAAAGGAATAGTTCACCTGAAAATGAAAATTCTGTCATCATTTACTCACACTCTAGTGTGAGTTTCTTTCTTCTGTTGAACACAAAGATATTTTGAATAATGTTAGTAACCAAACAGTTGATGGTAGCCATTGACTTCTATACGAAAAAAATACTATGGATGTCAATAGCTACCCACATTCTTCAAAATATCTCCTTTTGTGTTCAACAGAAAGAAACATACAGGTTTGGAGCAAGTGAAGGGTGAAGAGGTCCACCGAAAGCAGATGTGATCTACAAACACCTGTTAAGGAGAGACAAATGAAGGATCACACAATGTTCTTTTGCCATAGACAAGCTATTTGCCTCCGGCAGGAAGACTTTCTAGGGTCAGATTCTGAACTATCCCTGAGCAGCATGTACCATAAAGCTGCCATACTCCATACTAACAAGCCTGGGCAAGAACGGTTCAATAGGGCCAAATCTAGTCAGGGGAAGTGGATTAGTCATTTAATTTGAAGAGAAAAAAGCCTTTCTTCTTCAGCGCCAGCTTTGCAATATTGGCTGTATAATAAAATTTTCACTAAGACTCTGAACTTGGCTCCAGTCTAACTCTCCTGGGTGAAGAGAAAGAATTGAGGTTTTGTTTACAACACGAAAAAATAAGAATATACATTAGCTATTACTACAAGGTTATCTCTATTTGTTCAAAGTTTCTTATCTATAATTCACAGGAAACGAACCATCATCTACATATCTTTTGTGGTTACATACTTCACTGCCCCATTCTGCTTCTGATCTTGTCCATGTGGTGTTCATAAATTACTGTCACAGCACAGATTTACCTCCATAAACTGTCATTGAACCCAAGTAATCTCTGGTTGAAAAATCTGACATGGTCATATGAAGCCTTTCCCAAAACTCTGGGGAAAGTCAAAGCCACTGACCTTTAATTCCCCCTTCTTCTTTAATCTCATGCTATCCTTCTTCAAGGTGATACGTTCCTCTCTGAGGCATCAGGGGAAAGGTTTAAAAGGTTTCAGAATGCCCCAGAGTCTCCCAGTGGGGGCTTTCCAAACATTCCGGTTTTTCTCTCTGTCTGCTTTGTTTCCAGCGGGTTTCAACAGACGTTTTTTGACAGGCTGAACACGTGTGCACTCTAAAGACAGTTTAATGTCCTTTTTATGTCGGAGGAACTGCATTTTTTGTGGCATGCTTGTCTATGTTATCTAAACTTTATCTAAACTTGTCAATTGGAATCAAACTGACTTCAAAAACTTGACATGACACTGCTTTGATGTAAACTGAACGTCAAACATATTGGCCTACATATACATCAAACCAGTTTCAGTGTGGGATTAACTTCCTATTTTCACCCAATTACCACTGGAAGAAATTGCTGTCCAAACTAAATTTAAAATGATCTTACAGCATCTTGATCAAGTCTTGACAAATATTCAACGTCAAATTGGAGATTTCAATCAGACAGTCATTTCTTAAGGCCTTGTCTACACCTGGTATTAAGATGCTTTTCGCCAACCAGATCCCAAGTGGACAACGTTAAACACAGGTGTAAATGGGGTCTAAAATGTTTTGAGCTTGAGTAGTCGAAAATGTAATCAACCGTTTGTTGTGTAGACCTAACATATGAGCATTATGGGATGTTTTGAGAAAGCGCACCAAAACAATTGATTCCAACTAAGCCACACAAAAGATTATGATTGAAATTGTGCCACACGAAGATTATGATTGAAACTGTTGTTCCCATTCATATCCTTTCCATTCACTTCCATTTCCTGCTTGCTTGTAAACAGTATAATGGCTTTAGTCATTCAATCAGATTCATGCTCCGCACTCAAGCATGCCAAAATAAGATGAGGAAATCTGAACACAAGTGGTCACAGGAAATGCATTTAAAATGCATGTTAAGACCAGGTGTAATCGGTAATGTGTCTCAGCTCATAATGTGATCGATCAGATCACCGAAAACACATCTTAAAGGAACACTCCACTATTTTTGAAAGTAGGCTCATTTTCCAACTCCCCTAGAGTTAAACAGTTGAGTTTTACCATTTTCGAATCCATTCAGCCGATCTCCGGGTCTGGCGGTAGCACTTTTAGCTGTAGCTTAGCATAGATCATTGAATCTGATTAGACCGTTAGCATTTCTTTCAAAAACGACCAAAGAGTTTCTATATTTTTCCTATTTAAAACTTGACTCTTCTGTAGTTACATCGTGTACTAAGACCGACAGAAAATGAAAAGTTGTGATTTTCTAGGCCGATATGGCTAGGATACTCTCATTCCGGCGTAATAATCAAGGAACTTTGCTGCCGTACCATGGGTGTAGCAGGCGCAATGATATTACGCAGCGCCTGAAAATAGGCTTATTGGAAGTTACCTAGCTGGGGACTATTTTCAGGTGCTGCGTAATATCGGATCGGATCAGATCGGCTGAATGGATTCGAAAACAGTAAAACTCAACTGTTTAACTCTAGGGGAGTTGGAAAATGAGCCTACTTTCAAAAATAGTGGAGTGTTCCTTTAATACCAGATGTAAACAAGGCCAAAGTTCTCACAAAGTAAGAAGTCATTTTAAATCTTTTAACACAGGTTTTAGGGCTGCACGATTAATCGAATGTGATTGTCATGCGCATTTTGTTAGTAAAGCCGGTTCTGTAATCAGCAGTAAATCATCATCACGTGCTTTCAGATGGAGCAGCATTTATGGATGGAGATTGAGAGCTGTAGTTCACTTACAAGTTACGCAAAAAAAATTGCAGATGATTTTATTGCGCGATTATGAAATCTAAGAAATCGTTCGCGATAATGACAGCTGTTTGCATAGCTTCTCAGTGAACTACGGCTCTGTGTAGTAAATGCTGCTCCATCTGAAAGCATGTGAAAATACTACATTTAATAACATATTTTTACTCCAAACTCACTTCATAACGTCAGTCGAGTGTTTGAAATAAATCCTTCTGTGAGCTGATGTGGCTTCTTACACAGAATAATGCACGCAACATATTTCATAGTATTTTAAGCAGTGATAAAGGCATTGCATTATACATATACTTTAATTTAATGAAAATTATAATAATAATAACTCAGATAAACCATATATTATCATAATCGTGTGTTTATTAGTCACGTTGAATCAATAAAAGCAGTTAAATCTTCTGTTTATCCAGCTACCGCTATAGGCATTTCCTGGGTTTCTTCTGCGAGGCGTATTTGGAGTTTCAGCGCAAGAGCGCCCTCTGGCCTTTGGATGGAGATTTACTGCTGATCACAGAACCGTGCTTCACTGAAAGATACGCATGACAATCGCAGCTTCTGTCGAATCGCGATTTCGATTCCATTTCGATTTATCGTGCAGCCCTAACAGGTTTGAATTCTGGTGGATTTGGGAGACAAAAATGGGAGAACAGGTGAAAATGCATTTCTAAATGTCACTAACTATATAACTGTGAACGTTTAACAGTGAACAGTTGGGACTGCAAAACAAAGATTAACTTGGACTGTTTGGGGTTCAAACCAGCAACATTTTGGATATCAACCTAGATTTTAAACCAACAGACCACTTCATGCAAGTAACTTTAACAGACTAAAGCAAAATAACAAGGCCTTTCCTTGATGGCACTGACCCCAGACGTTTAGGATGTCCGGACCTGGGAGGAGCTACTGGTCAGAATGCACTTGCATCATCATTGCCCACAGTTAACGTTTAAAAAGGTGAATGTCATCAATCCAAGAACGAATTTAGTATGTGGTCAAGACCTGTTACAAAAACTTTTTCTACTGATTGAAAAAGGAGAGCTGTATACCAAGTTTACCACTGAACATTTCTGCAGGAATCACATATATAATCGCCTCCTATTAAAATAGTTACATCTTCTCTTTCGATTGGGTTGGATGTTGCATATTACAATACTATTAAAACAACACATATACGAATCATATGATTACTTACTAACCTAAGATTTTCTATTATTGTTTATTGTAATTAATGTGTCCAGTCCATTCGTTGACTGGAGCCAAGATTCAGCTGAAGTTATTTTGAACATAAATACATTCAGCATTTACAGTGAACAATACTAAAATGAATGTCTCCGTTAAAAACATTTCTGCATATTTAAATGAAAATTCAAAACCAAATCTGTTATGTGTGGTGACAAAACTGTTGTACGATTTAATGAGTCAAGCTACTGACTTCTAAATCACATGAGTCGAACATTGGTTGGCTTGTTGGTTCAGTGAGTCGGTGTCATTATTCGAGAACAAATGTGCGAACAAATTGTTCGGACCGGTTTTGTGACCCAGTTCATTCGAAGGATTCGACTCAAAAGAACAAATCCTTCCTGAAGCAGACATCGCTACTTTATTTGTAAGACTCACCTGATCTTGAGATGTTCTGGAAGTATACTATAAGAATGAAAAACGACCCGACACATGTCGCCAGAAACATCCGACCCACTTTGGGCTTTACCATTCTGATACAACTCCAACGGACGATGCCCGACTCTTGCCCGGCGACGGAGGTCCGAGAAGGGCTGTTTGTCGCCGAACAATCCTAAAAGCGTCTGTCCAACGGGTTCCTCATTTTAAAAAGAAACACAAAAACCGTCCAAAAACAACTCGGTGGAAACTAATTCCGATACACGCTTTACCCAAAGCAACCGCTTTATAGTTAGGTGTTACACGAACCATTCACTTATTAGCTTGCATACTGGCTGTTTATTAGTAGGCTACTTAGAAAGCACATATTAATTCCTTATTCTTCATGACCATATTCTGCATCCCATAATCCTACCTAATACCTAAACTTAACAACTACAACGACTACCTTAAAAGCTATTAATAAGCAGTAAATTAAGAGTTTGAGGCGAAAGTCATAGTTAATAGTTAATATGTGTTTTTTAAATTATTGGTTGGTAGACAGAACAGGGGGCATCTGGCATAGGGTTGGGTGCTGTAGAAGTAGGCAGGTCTTCTGTAACTGTATTAAAACCCCACCAGCCAGATCCTAAGACTATTGTGTGTCAGGTGCATGGACTGTAGAATAGAACAGAATAAAGTAGTATGTGAATGTGCAAGTATATACACAAAATACAATTTGAAATATGTAAACAATATACTCTCAGTACCCTTATAAGGACATCTTTGTACTTTATACTCGAAAAGGTGCACATTAGTACCTTAGAGTACCAATATGTACCTTAATGTACAACTATGAAACTTTTTGGGGTAAATAATGTACAAAGATGTCCTTTTAAGGGTGCTGTCCCAGTGACATGCTGTTGTATTTCTCTCTTTCTCTTTCTTTCTCTTTTTCTTTCTCTTTGTTTCTTTCTCTCTTTCTTCTGTTTTATAATCATATATAATAATATAAGCATAAAGCATATAAAGCAAAAAAGGTACGATTAAAAATAAAACCTGTCAATTAGACGAGGGAAAAAACAGGTATAACACTAGACATTCCGTCCCCCCCACTTTTGAAATGATGGCTACGCCCCTGCTGGAACCCCTCTAGAGTGCGAACGTAAAACTCGAGCGTTTTTGTAACGTTACGGAATGAAAGTAAACAGACTTAAATAGCAGACTTAAAGTACGTTAATAATTCACTTTCAAGTCTTTAAAGGCTATTGTATTATTTCTATTTAATTATTTTTAAGATTTCAGACTTTTCCGTCTGATAAGCACACACACACTTTTATAAACGTGTCTAATTCTAAAATACTATACATTCTGTGTCAAAAGAGATTTTTGTCATAATAATGTATGTTTAGTGACATCTGGTGGAAAATACAGGAACATTCTGACTGTTTCACTTCAAACTTCAAGAACTCTTTTATTAATAAAAACACAGATGCCGTTACCTACTGTATAATATTCAGTGTTGGGGAGTAACTAGTTACTTGTAACTGAATTATGTAATTTAATTACAAAATAAAACTAACTGTAATCAGTTACAGTTACTGAGAAAAAACGTGTAATTAAATTAGAGTTACTAATGAAAATGTTAAGGATTACAAATGGGGTTACATCTGATTTTTTCACACACACTCCCACATACAGATTTAATTGAGTTCTTTCATAAATTGCAGTGAGTGCTCTAAAATATGAAACACCAAATGTTTCAGTAGTATAACATAATTATCCGATAGGGTTTATGTATATGATTTATTTTTTTTAAGATTAACTGTTTTTCTAAGGCATTGTTAGATTCCAGTGTTTCCTGTCATAGCTATGCAAAGATTTGATTTCAAAAACAGTATCACAGCTATTAAAATATTTCTTGTTATGATTTTAAATATGTATTTAACCTCAGAATGATTTAAAGCAGTGGTTCTCAAACCTGTCCTGGCGTACCCCCAGCCCTGCACATTTTGTATGTCTCCCTCATCTATCACACCTGATTCAACTCATCAGCTCATTAGTGGAGACTGCAAGACCTGAAGTGGGTGTGTCAGATATAGAGAGACATGCAAATCATGCAGTGCTGGGGGTACTTCATGGACAGGTTTGAGAACCCCTGATTTAAAGTTAGTCTGATTTTGTGGTGGCTGTGCTTCAAAGGGGCCATCGGATGCCCATTTTCCACAAGTTGGTATGATTCTTTAGGGTATTCTTGAAATGGTCTCAGTGGTCGTGTAAAACAATACCCTTTTTACCTGGTCAAAAACAGCTCTGTTCACAGCGACTGGTTTCGGTGCATTTCTCTTTACATGCTAATGAGCTCTACTCACACCCGCCCCTCTCTTCTGTGGAAGAGCAAACGCGATTCGCAAATAATCATAAAAAATAAAAAAATAGCTATGGGGGTCCCGTGTTCGAATCCCGACTCAAGGACCTTTTCAGATCCCACCCCCCCCCAATGACTATGAACCACTTCTTTAGGGAATCAAAAATATAAAGCGCAGCTAATGTAACCTAACTTTCAAACGATCTGTCACTTTTTGGTGTATCTGGTGTAACTGCTATGAGACTTAAATCAGTGCATTAATTTATACAAATAAAGCAATGAAATATTTTACATTTTGTTTTAATATTGCTGTGTAGTGCTGATGTCATTATTGCGTTAGTTGCGTACTCTAAAAAGCTTAAACAATCATTTTTAATTGTTTTAAATGTATTTGTTATTGAAATGATCTCATAAGTTGGTAATGGGACTGAAATTCAAAATATTTAATTCTTATGATTACTTAAAAAAATCATTAATGAAACCTTTAAGGAATCCGAATTATTAAGAGGAATGGAAACCTTAAACTGTTCAATTCTTTTCGATTCTCATCCCTAATACACACAACCACACAGATGTATCAAAGTGTCAAAGAAAGCTTCGTTTTAAGAAAATAATAATTCCATGAACAATGTATTTACTTCACTTCAAAACAATTCAGTTCATAACCACTCCTTGCTGTGAATTTCAACCAGATGTTACTTTTTAATCTAGATGTTACATTTTTCAGAAATCATATTCCACATCCCTGTATCGTGGGCAACACATCAAAGGTATCTTGATCTACTCTGTCCTCTGCTGCCAGAGAGAAACCAAAGAGATGTAAGAACTCTGATAGGACCAAAAACAGCAGGTCATCCCAAAGACACAGGGCATGGAAGATCCTCAAACCAGGTTATTTAGTGAGAGCTTTTTTTTTAACACAACCAGGTCAAAGCTGTCACATGAGTTCAGGTCAAATCTGAGACTACAAGCGAGAATACTTCAAACTTGCATTTTTCTAATTAAAACATATCCCTGTATCGTGGGCAACACATCAAAGGTATCTTGATCTACTCTGTCCTCTGCTGCCAGAGAGAAACCAAAGAGATGTAAGAACTCTGATAGGACCAAAAACAGCAGGTCATCCCAAAGACACAGGGCATGGAAGATCCTCAAACCAGGTTATTTAGTGAGAGCTTTTTTTTTTAACACAACCAGGTCAAAGCTGTCACATGAGTTCAGGTCAAATCTGAGACTACAAGCGAGAATACTTCAAACTTGCATTTTTCTAATTAAAACATCATTTTATGGTACAAATGATCACCATAAAAATGTGAGTGAAAAGTGATTTAGTGTTTGGTATGTCTTATGCTTGACTGTGCTTCAATGGAAACTAGAACATCTTACCATCTGTACAAAGAAGTTCACATAATGTCACTAATGCAGGGCCATCCCAAGCTGGAGCTGGGCCCCGGGCGGCCCCACCAGTTGCACTGCACTAATGTACATTGTCTAAAAAAAGTACTATAATCTAAGCAAAAAGAGGAATAACAAGACAGCAAAGAACCCTTCAGGGCCAAATAATGCTGACACAAGTAAAACAACACACTGTGTAACACAGTGTAAAATGTAATTAAGACTGGCAAGTGTTAATGTAATACATTTTCTTCTCTTATCTGAAAACTTGCCCACAACTTATCTAACCCTACAGCAATATTAAAATAGCAAATGTTTGTCAGGAATGTCCTTTCAAGGTCTCTCAAATAGAACATGAAAGTGTGACTTTTTAAGAGGTGCTCCGGCTGTTCTTCTGTTCTCTGCTGGGTGTCTCTCACATACGGCACAGCTTCTCGTCTGAAACACAGCCCCACAGAATAAAACCTGCATGGATTTTTGTATCATTTCTGCAATTCAGTGGAAGTGTTAAAGTATTTAGGGTGAGAATTCTAAAGAATTTACTGTGAGAAAAAAAAGAAAAGCATTTTCTCAAGGAATAATACAGTTCAAAGTCAACTTTAGTCATGCATTATTACATTTTTATTAAAGAGAATATTTAACCCAATAAAATTCTGTCATCATTTACTCACCATCATGTTGCCTGAAACCCATGTGATTTTCTGTCTTCTGTGTGGTTAAAATGTTCTGAAAGAAGAAAGATTATATAGAACGAAAGAAAGAATAATATATATATACATTTTTTTTCATTTCTCACCCAGCAGTGTAGAAACAGTCCTTCTCTGTGTGTGTGTGTATGTACAGTATATATTAGCATATTTTATATTAGACTTTTGCTGTGCTTTTATTATTCTATTATTATTATTATGTTATATGCTATCATTTTGGCCAGGTCTCTCGTGAGAAAAGATATGTGGTTGCTAAGTTGTTCTGCATTTTGTTTCATGTTGCTATGCAATTGCTAAGGTGTTCTGGGTTGGTATTGAACCAAAAGAGGCAAAAGAGCCCAACCTCAAGTCTCTAGGATACTCTAGTGTCTAGACGCGGCTGAACTTCTTCAGTGGAAGTCTATGGGATTTTTCTCTGAGAGGTTACTGTAGTCACACTAATCAGCAGGGCACAGGCCGGCGGCCACTAGTCACACACGAAGAGTCTTGTAAGTGAATTCAGGTATCAGATAGTTCCACCGAGAGAGCCAGAGATAAAGACTGAGAGACTGTAAGGTGAAGGAACAGGTTGGAACAGGTAAAATGCATGACCAGACTGACAACTTCAACTGTCCTTCAAAAAGACAACGTATTTTTTTGCCCTGACTTTGTACACTCATTGGCATCAGTGTTCAATGAGGAATCTTTAACATCCATGGGATCTTTCCATGACACAAATGGTTCTTACACAGTTAGAAAAAAATTCTTCACATTAAGAAAAAAATGGTTATTTTTGAAACTGATCACTGAAAAGGTCCATTGGGGATCGTTTAATGAATCACAGGCTTCATGAATC